AAAAAAAAAAAAAAAAAAAAAAAAAAAAAAAAAAAAAAAAAAAAAAAAAAAAAAAAAAAAAAAAAAAAACAGGCTTCCTAGAAGTCTGTTGAGGTAAAAACTTTGAGAGGACTAGGAAAATGAAAAATTTATGATTCTATGTCAAGCAGTGCTGGTATATCTACCTAGTATCTACATACATATCCATTTTTCAAAAGCAAACACTTCGAAAGAAAAATAAGAATTTTCTTGTGGAATTGTAACAATGAAGGGAAACTAAACCATTTAGTTGATGGAAAAATCATGTCATCATCACCCAAATTAAGGAAGTGGAATGAAGCTTTGATGAGAAAATGGTCATTAAGGCTTCCTAAAAAACCAAATGAGTTATAACTCATGGAGCAAGGTAACATAAGCATTTATGAGAAAGATGATCTAGGTTGTTTGAAAAAGAGAGGAAAGTATTCCAAGACCAGAGCCCTTAGAGCAACTTATCAAACTAAAACCTAGAAGAACATATACTTTTTGAACCGAACCGAACCTCAGAACAAAGATTGAAGAGAACATCCATTTATCAAGGTTCCTCAAGCTACTGTAATTTCATTTTTTAAGAGAACCATGACTCACTATTCCCATTTTCTAAGAAATGACCTTCCAGAAAATGACATGCTCTTTGTAGAATAGTCAAATCCGGTTGGTTAAAAGAAATAATTAATCCTGAAGATTAAGTTCCTTTCAACTCCCAGCTAAAATAACACTTCTTCTTGGCTCTTTCTCGGATAATCACCAGTTTTAAGACCATCCCATCCAACAATGAAGCAAGAGCATCTCCTATTTTTGGTATCAGTATATGTTTCTCAGTTTCAAACTCCCTATCTGAAATGAGCCACCCAACTCAAACGAAATTCCCTTTCCCAACAAGAATTCAAAGATTCAATGGATACCCACAACAATGTCAAATGACAAATATTATCCGAATAAACGAAAGCAAGCAAAACTTGAAGGAAAATACCTGTTTTAAATCATTCCCAACATCAGGAAATTCCTTCAGAAGCTCGCGTACAACCACTTCAGGCTCAACACTTCTCAACTTCCGTCTCTCAAACTCGCTATCACTAGAATTCCCTGAACGTGAGGACTCAGCATCACTTTCAGATCCATAATCATCCCTCTTTCTCTTGGCCTCCCTTCTCAATTTCTTCTTTCTCATCTTTCTATCTCTCTCCCTATTCCTATCTTTTCTCTTCCTCTCCCTATCTCTAATCCTCGACTCTCGCTTCTTGTCCTTCTCCCTCCTTGAACTGCCACTGCGGCGATGGCGGCGCGACCGCATAGAAGAGCTGTCCGAGTTATCTGAAGAGGACGGTGACGATGAAGAAGGCTCTGAACACTCGGTACGCTTCTTCTTCCTCCCACTTCCCATTGAAATTTGCAGAGATTTAGTTGGATTGAAAAATTCAGAAACTAGCCCAAGAAAAGAAAAAATCAGTGCCGGAAGCGGCGATTCCCTACTGGGCGCCGAGATTAGCACGCCGCTGCCGAGAACAAGCCACCACAGACGTGATAGAACTTGTTCGCCGTCGAAGAGAGCTTGCCGTTGATAGGAATCGGGTGGCCGGTGGGGTTTGATTGCGTGGGTCGTGGCGTGAAGCTTGTGGGTGGGTCGTGAATAGAACGCCGGCGTTGCGGATCGCCAAAACAGCCCCGATGGGCGTAGTAGTAAGGGAGCAACTAGACGAAGAGGAAGGAGGGTAAAGGGTAGAAGTTCTTGGCTATGGAAAATTAGAGGGTATTGGTTGGATCTACCCAAATTTTATAATCCAACATATTATATCTTAATATCATTTAAAATATAGGTTAGATATTATGTTTTAATTTTTTTTATTTTTATGATTTGATTGGGAGTATATTTTATTTTATTTTTATTACTTAATTAGTCTATATTTTTTTTATTTGTAAGTATTAATTGATAGTTTATTAAAAGTTATTGTAACGATCCTAATATTTTACCTATTTAATCTAAGATCATTACTATACTTTGAAATGCCGAATATACATTTAATGGACCCTATTCATAAATGTTGTTAGCACTAGCCCTTTTATTGCCTAAGAAAAGATTACAAGGGAAAAAGAGAAACGAAAGAAAGGAAAAGCAACAAAAACCAAGAATGAATAGTTTATTCTACCCTAAGGTTTATTATGCAAATACATTTCATCTCATTCTAACCTATACTAAAATGAAAAAAAAAACAACCAACTACCCTATGCATGTGCCACGATCCTGAGGTGTCCGATGCCGTCGTTGTTGTCACGTGGGTGCCTTGCCCTTATCTGCAAAAGTAAAGTAGCACGAGGCTTGAGTATTTCTAGAATACTTAGTAAGTGACCCCCTATCAGGGTTATGCGACAAACACATGCAATGAAATGATGGGACCTATCGTTCCGTTTCGTTTCTTTTTTGTTTCGTTTCATTTCGTTTTCCCAACGGTGTAGTTCTAACAGGTAATCGTGGACGTGTACCATATACTCTACACGCAGCCCATACGTGCGAGTATGGGCTCACCAACTAGTTCGCACACCGCTGGGCCACTGTCCCTAGCCGGTGGGCATGCTCTGGGGGCCCATCGGGACCCGTTAAAACTAAAACCGTCACGGCAGTGCTATGCAAAGCATAACGATCGTTGTCCTGCCATTTGGATGTACGCGTCCGTACCCTCGTGATGGGATAGGGGTATCCCCCCAAATGCATGAACACACAATATGCATGAGGTCCCACTAGTCCTACAGTCATCATTTAATGAGCATAACCCCGCGTCACGTTTTCATGCTTACATGTCATTCTCATTCTCATTTCGTTACATATCATACATATTCCTAGTGGGGTTATGTATCATGCAATTTACCGTATTTCATGTCATGCAATTCATTCAATCACATTCCCATACTCATACAACAAGCCATAATCGTACACAGGTCACACATCGTCACATGCATTCATATCACATCCAATAAGCAACATAAATAACATACATTCACGTTCACCTGATTTCGTACTTAAGCATATTAAGCTAGCATACAATTTAATGGCACGTGCCTAACCACGGGCACATGCCAACATACAGCAATTAATGCGTAACCTACAACGGGTGAGCCACTTACTTGGTAGGCCTTAGCCGAAGTACTCCCTAGAATATAACGTAAGCTCCTAGCTCCTTGTGGACGTTCTACGCTTCCGTTCGTGGTTGGTTCCTATTGGTTCATGAGTCACTTCCGTTAGTATTCCACAAATAATAATAAATTCTCAACTGGAATTTGTGAAATACGACCTTAAAATGTTCCCTTTTACCTTAAACAGGGCCGAAACCAGGTCCGGGAGGGTCAGAACGGTGTCAAACGGGTTGGAAACAGGTTTCCCGAGCCGAATAAGCCGTCACCGAGCCGATGAAGCCGCCTGAGCCGAGAGAAGCCGCGCTGCAGATGTGACACGTGGCACAATCAGAGAGCGACGCGTGTGCAAGCGTCTCGGGTTGAGGCGTGGGTTAACGGGTCGCTCGCGGGTCTCGGGCCAACGCGGGTGATGAGCCGGCTTGCGGGTGACGGGCCACGGGGTGATGGGTCGGCTCGTGAGTGAAGGCCGGGTGTTTGGGCTGCGGGTTACGTGGGTTCTAGGCTGACCGAAGGGATGGGGTTCGGTTCGGGTTTCCAGATTTGGATCTCGGGTCGGACTTCGTCCTCTTCGCCCGACTCCTGCGCGATTTTTCGGCGGTCTCTCTCTCTCCTCGACAACGTTGTCCCGACGTCCTTTTTTTCCCCCGTTCCCGAGCTTATCCTTCACCCTAACCCCGTTTTTGGTACAGATTTCGTTGGTAAGGGCCTCGCACTCCCGGATCTGGAGAAGCTCGGAAGTCTGCCGTTCCGTCTTCCTTGCCGACGGTGTTCAGCGTACAGGATTCGTCTAAAACCTACTCCTGATGTGTGTAAAGGGTTCTGGGATTACTTTTGTGGTGTGAAATGGGGGTTTTCGACGTCGATTCGTACAGTTCGGCTTCGCGCGGAGTTCCGTCGGTTTTTTGTTCTCTCTCCTTTTTCCTTACCATTTTAGTTTCTTTGCAAGTTCTTTCAGGGTGGCTGAAGGTAGGGGACGCGATTTGTGGTATCCCAACCCTCGACTGCCCTTTGTGGGTCATGTGCCAGCGAAAACTTCGGCGTTCGCCAGAGTTTTCGGCTCTGCCGACGACCATCATTTTTTTTTTGGTTCCGTTACATTACCTACCCCTAAAAGGAACTTTCGTCCTCGAAAGTCTCGAACTCGTGGATCAACTCGGGGTATTTTTCCTTTATTTCCTCCTCTTGTTCCCACGTAGCTTCCTCGACTTGGTGGTTACGCCACAATACCTTAACGAAACCTATACTCTTATTACGTAAGGCTTTCACCTCTCGGGCTAGAATTTTAATCGGTTTCTCCTGGTAACTTAAATTTTCCTCAATTTTGAGAGGTTTGCAGTCTATTACGTGCGTCGGGTCTGGAATGTATTTCCTTAACATGGACACATGAAATACATCGTGTACGCTTGAAAGTGATTGGATAAAGGGAACCGAGATGCCAAAGAGTTGGAGAACTTCATCTTTGATGTCGAACAGTACTTCAAAGCCACACCGGCTTGTACCGACAACATAAAAGTGACAGTAGCCTTGATGTATCTCGTAGACGACGTCAAACTTTGGTGGCGTACGAAGGTGCAAGACATCGAGAATGGATTGTGCACCATAGACTCGTGGGAAGACCTCAAGAGAGAGTTGAGGGATCAATTCCTCCCCGAAAACATAGAGCACCTATGGAAAAACTAATAGCCCTAAAGCAAACTGGAAGCATAAGGGACTATGTCAGACAGTTCTCGACCCTGATGCTAGATATCAGGGGCACATCAGAGAAGGACAAGGTGTTCTTCTTTATAAATAGGTTACAACCGTGGGCCAAAACAAAAGTACACGAGAAAAAGGTCCAAGACCTAGCTACCGCAATTGCCAACACCGAGAGACTCTTAGACTATGGGAATGAAGCGGGTTACCAAAGAAAAATAACGCAGGCCCCAAACACTGGGGGCAAAACATATAAGCCGCCTAGTCATCGAAATGGAAACCCCAATAGGCCAAACGGAAGTAACGACAGACCAAGCGGGTGGACAGATAGACCTCCTCAGAACAACCAAGCGGGGACATCTTGAGGACCTTACCCTAAAAGGAACCACCCGACGACACCGTTACAATGCCTGTTGTGTAGAGGCCCCCACAAAGTGTCCTACTGTCCTCATCAGGCCTCTCTCAGTGCACTCCAAGTGTCCATTCAAGAGAGAAACGACACAAGAATCGAGACTATGCTAGACAAGAAGGAAGATCAAGACAACCCCGAAAGGGCGTGCTCAAATTCTTGTCAACCCTCCAACGGAAGGTCGACCCGAAGGAGATAATAGAGAAAGAGCGCATGTTTGTGGATGCGACAATAAACTCTCGATCAAGCAAGAGCACCTTGATAGACTCAGGAGCGACCCATAACTTCATCACCGATCAAGAAGCACGAAGATTGGGACTCACCGTAGAAAAGAACCTGGAAAAATGAAAAATGTCAACTCCGAGGCCTTGCATATTGTGGGAGTTTCCAAAAGAGTCCCCTTCAAATTAGAGGCTTGGACAGAAGAGTTGGTCCTTGTCGTGGTTCACATGGATGACTTTGACGTGGTACTTGGGATGGAGTTTCTCTTAGAACACAAAATTATCCCAATGCCACTGGCGAAATGTTTGGTGATCACTGACCGCAACCCCACAGTAATACCTATAAGCATCAAGCAACCATGTAATCTTAGAATGATCTCGGCTATACAATAGAAAAGAGGATTCGCACGAGAGGAACCTACATTTATGGCTATACCACTGATGGAAGAAGTGACCACTGAGGAAACTATTCCAAGCGAAATCAAGGAGGTACAAAACAATTATGTTGACATAATGCCAGAGAGCTTACCACAAACATTACCACCCCGTCGAGGCATTGATCACGAAATTGAACTCCTCCCCGGGGTTAAAATCCCAGCGAAGAACGCGTACCGGATGGCTCCCCTTGAGCTAGTCGAATTGAGGAAACAATTAGATGAGTTGTTGACGGCATGATTCATTGGCCCGGCAAAAGCACCTTACGGAGCCCCCGTACTATTCTAGAAAAAGATGGATGGGACATTGCGTTTGTGCATAGATTATAGTCTTAAACAAGGTGACAGTACGCAACAAATACCCACTGCCGATAATATCCGACTTGTTCGACCAACTTCACGGGGCCAAGTACTTCACGAAGTTGGACTTATGATCAGGGTACTACCAAGTACGTATTGCCGAAGGGGACGAGTCTAAGACGACGTGCGTAACAAGATATGGGGCCTTTGAGTTCCTGGTAATGCCCTTTAGCTTGACAAACGCCCCAGCTATGTTTTGCACGTTAATAAACCAAGTTTTCTACGAATACTTGGATCAGTTCGTCATAGTATACCTCGACAACATAGTCATATACAGCACAACCCTAGAGGAACACAAGCTGCACTTGAAGCTGGTGTTTGACAAGCTGCGGCAGAATTAGTTGTACATCAAGAAAGAAAAATGTGCCTTCGCACAAACATGCATTAACTTCCTTGGACATGTCATCAGTTGTGGACAGATCGGCATGGATAGCGACAAGATAAAAGTTATCCAAGAGTGGAAGATCCCTACTTCCGTATCCGAGGTGCGATCCTTCCTAGGATTGGCAAAATAATATAGGCGGTTCGTTGAAAGGTTTTCACGGCAAGTCGCCCCATTAACAGAACTTTTGAAGAAAGACCACCCTTTGTTGTGGTCAAATAAATGTCAAATGGCCTTTGAAGATCTGAAGGCAACCATGACGAGGGATCCTGTCCTCGGGTTAGTAGATGTTACAAAGTCATTTGAAATAAAGACAGATGCTTCCGACTTTGCCCTAGGCAGTGTCCTTATTCAAGAAGGTCACCCAATCGCTTATGAAAGTCGAAAGCTCAACAATGCGAACTGGATATACACTGTCTCCAAAAAAGAAATGTTGGTTGTGGTCCATTGCCTACGCGTCTGGAGACAGTACCTCTTGGGATCAGAGTTCATAGTGAAGACGGATAATAGCGCTATGTGCCACTTCTTCAATCAACCAAAATTGACGGCAAAACAAGCCCAGTGGCAGGATTCGTTGGCGGAATTCGACTTCAAATTCGAACACAAGGCAGGAAAGAGTAATCAAGCAGCCGATGCGCTGAGTCGGAAGGGTGAACATGCGGCTCTGTGCATGTTAGCCCATATTCATTCAAGTAAGATCAATGGATCGATGCGCGACATCATCAAAGAACATTTACACAAAGAGCCATCGGCCAAAGCCGTCGTCGAACTAGCTAAAGCTGGGAAGACACGACAGTTTTGGATCGAGGGAGACCTTCTAATGACTAAAGGAAACAGATTATACATCCCAAGAATGGGAGAATTAAGGAAGAAGCTCATCCAGGAATGTCATGATACCTTATGGGCAGGACACCCTGGGTGGCAAAGAACGTATGCCCTAATAAAAAAGGGTACTTCTGGCCGAATATGCGAGATGATATCATGCAGTACATCAAGCCGTGCCTCATCTGCCAACAGGACAAAGTCGAGAAAGTCAAAGTCTCGGGACTCTTGGAATCTTTACCTGTGCCAACAAGACCTTGGGAAAGTGTGTCTCTGGACTTCATAACACACCTCCCAAAAGTTGGAGAATATGACGCCATCTTGGTTATCGTAGATCGGTTCTCGAAATATGCTACGTTTGGTCCTACTCCCAAATTATACTCGGCTGAACTAACAGCTCAACTATTTTTCAAATACGTTGTCAAGTTATGGGACATTCTGTCGAGCATCATCCGTGATAGGGATGGTAGATTCATTGGCACATTCTGGACCGAATTATTCGCCTTCTTGGGAACGACTTTAAACATCTCTTCAAACTACCATCCTCAAACCGATGGACAGACGGAACGGTTCAACTGCTTGCTCGAAGAATACTTACGTCACTTCGTCGACGCTCACCAGAAGAACTGGATACAACTGCTAGATGTTGCCCAATTCTATTTCAATTGTCAAACGAGCTCGTCTACGGGGAAGAGTCCCTTCGAAATTATAAGTGGACGACAACCGGCCTTACCACATATTATTGATCATCCTTATGTAGGGAAAACCCCTCAAGCTCAAAACTTCACAAGAGAATGGAAGCAGACAACAGATATAGCCCGGACATATTTAGAGAAAGCTTCCAAGCATATGAAGAAGTGGGCAGACAAGAAGCTTCGCCCCCTCCAATTTCGAGCAGGAGATCAAGTCCTCATCAAGTTGAGACTAGAACAGATCAGATTTTGCAGCTCAAAGGACCAGCGACTAGTTTGAAAATATGAAGGCCCGGTTGAAGTGCTTAAAAAGATCGGGGCTACCTCCTACAGAGTTGCGCTACCCACATGGATGAAAATCCACCCAATAATTCATGTGAGCAACTTGAAGCCTTATCACCCTGACCCGAACGACGACGAGCAAAATGTAATGTAACGACCCTAATATTTTACCTATTTAATTTAAGGTTATTACTACACCTTGAAATGCGGAATATATATTAAATGGGCCCGATTCATAAATGCGACTTACTCTCGCCTTTTATTACCTCGTGAAATAGAAAATGATTACAAGGAAAAAAAGAAAATAACATTATTGAAAATAAAGGGAAAGTGACCAAAACCAAATGAATGTTTTATTCTACCCTCTGGTTTATTATGCAAAAATATTTCAACCTATACGTCCTATACTAATGATGCAAACCGAATTCAGCCTAGACTATGAAATGGAAAAAAAAACAAACAACTTTCTTATGCATGTGCCACGGTCTCTAGGTGTACGATGCCGCCGTTATTGTCACATGGGTGCCTTGCCCTTATCTGCAAAAGTAAAGTAGCACGAGGCTTGAGTATTTCTAGAATACTCAGTAAGTGACCCCCTATCGGGGTTATGCAACAATCACATGCAATGAAATGATGGGACCTATCATTCCGTTTCATTTTTCCTACGGTGCAATCCTAACGGGTAATCGTGGACGTGTACTATATACTCTACACACAGCCCATACGTGTGAGTATGGACTCACCAGCTAGTTCGCACACCGCTAGACCACTGTCCTTATCCGGTGGGCATACTCTGGGAGCCCCTTATGCCGGATCCGTTAAAACTAGAACCGTCACGGCAGCGCAATGCAATGCATCACGATTGTTGTCCTGCAATTGGATGTGTAACGACCCGGGAAAGAAAGGAAAAAATATATATACATATAATAAAAATAAATAAATAAATAAATCAAATAAAGTAATAAAAAAAAAAAAAAAAAAAAAAAA